TGGTGGTGGTGGCAGTGGCAGTGGAAGCAGAAGTAGAAGTGGATTTAGAGGCCAATTTCTGGCCACTCGCCTTCACGAGCAACTCAATCCACGAGAGCACACAAGGAGTGAGCAAAGGGAGGGGCATTAGTGAATTGGGGTCGCTCTCGCATGATTCGATGCATCAGGAGGGAAGGAGAGGAATCATTGTGCATCCATGGTGCATCACGGTGTACGTGCGACGCCTTCTGGTAACTGAGAGGTCTTGCCAAAGAAAGAAGCGTCTGTTCGCACCACATCAACCCCTCATGATTTCTTCTTACACTTATTTATTTGTTTGTTTGTCTATACGTAGCACCGTGAGGCCTTTCCCGATGAGAATGTAGCCATTAGTGGCATTGGAAGGGCGAGCGAAGAAAGGAGGCGCATGAGTGGGAAGAAGGTGGAGAGGGTGAGTTGTTGCCAAAGATATCACCGAAGTGAGGTAGTAGCAGGCATTATTAGTGATGTTGCGTTTAAGTGAGTGAATAGGGAGTGAGTAAAGGTGGGTCAGAAGGAGTGAGATGGAGTTGGAGGGAATTGGAGGGAGTTGATGTAGGCGGTATCAGCTTGAGGGAGCCCTTGCAATCACTATCACAACAGGACCACGGTGAGGCAGTTTGTTGTGTCGATTCCATGCGACTCGACTGGACTCGACTCGCCACTTACTCGAAGCGAATTGAGTCCACTCGACGAGGTGCTTACCTACTCCACCACTTGGTTGGGTTAAGTGTTACAGTAATTTTCACTGGTCCGATTTGTTCATGCGCAAACCTCCACCGTGTGGCATCTCACACCTAACCTGACCTTTCCCAGTGGTAGTCCCTCGTGTCCTGACTCGCCTTTTCCTGCCTTTTCCTGTCTTATCGTGTCCTGGCCTGTTCTGTTCACCAGCCACGACAACATAATGACGTGGTGCACAGGAATGTGGAGTAAACAAACACATCGTTTCTGGTGTTCGTAGTCGTCGTCCTGTGTTGGGTGTCAGCTAACTCATCCAGACGAGAAATGTCGACTTGGCAAGTAGAAATGGGCCAATGGGAGGACAGATTGGAGGAGAGGAATGGGGAAGTGGAGGGAGGGAGGAGGAGGAAGAGGGAAAGGAGGAGAAGGTGGATGTGGGTGGAACAGATGTGCTCTGCATTGAATGGCTTTCACAAGGCTTTTTTCCAGCACATTGAAGGACTGTTTGTGACCGTCGATGCTGATCATGTTTCCTGAGCTAGCTAAGATGGGAATTATTGGTAGTCATTCTCAACACGCCACCACCACACACTGTTTTAAAACCACCTCCTCTCAACCAATGTCGCATTTTGTCACGAGTGGTTGTGAACAGTACAAGTGAGGTTGAATGCTGTGTGATTGCATGGAAGTAGGTGAGAGGGAGAATGGATGGCTTGTGTGGAATAGGGAGTGGCCAAAAAATGAGGACGGTCGTCTATCTCTCCACATTGTCGAGAGCACACTCCATGAAGCATTCGTTGTCCACCAGGGTGTCTCTCCCATTAACACTTACTAACTGTTCACAGTGTCACAGTGACCATTTGACAGGAAATCAGGCGAAGTGTTTGGTAGAAAATGGGCTTGATTTGTGTCGCTGGAAGTTGGTTTCATTATTTTGTACTAGTCACCACCTTCTGGAGCATTGGGCTATTGGGTGGAGGGAAGCAGGATTGGTGACGACTTCCTTTCGGTGTATTTTCGTAGGTGGAAGGCGATCGCGCACTG